GGTCCCTCTCCTCAGGTGTCTCACACAGGCTCGCGGGGGGCTGGCCCTCCTCCTCATGTGTCTCACACAGGCTCGCGGGGGGCTGGCCCCACTACTGCAGGTGTCTCACACAGGCTCGCGGTCTGCACCTGAATCTGGCTGAGCATGGGCGGGGGAGGGTGTCTGGGAGGTGACCCCTCTGGAGGGCTTCTTGTGTGCCCGTGTGCAGCGAGGGTCCTGGGTGGGCCGCAGGGGGAGGTGCCAGGCCAGGAGCACTGCTGGGCTCTGGGTAGACAGTTTAGCCGGGCCAGTCCCAGGGACATGGGCAGGTGGGTCCACTCTCCTGGAAGAAATGGCTCCAAAACCAAATTCAATCAGCTGCCCCCGAGGGGGAGAGACCCTGCCCATATTCCTGTATCCACAGGGCAGGGCGCCCAGCCTGCTCGGAGCAACATGTGGAGAGTGGGCTGCAGTGGGGTGCAGGTGGTGCGGATGTGGGCTGCAGTGGGGTGTGGGGCAGGTTGGCGCACAGTGCTGTGGGCATAGGTGGTGTGGCCAGGAGGCCCAGTCTCCGAGTGGCAGGGGCAGTGCCAGCCCACCAGGCCAGCCCCTCCCTTGTGACACGCCTGCCCAGACTTGGGGGCTCACAGGGTCCTTGCAGAGTGGGGTCTTTGTGTCTCCAGCTGTGGCCCCCAGGTGACTCAGGGAGGAAGCTCCCAAGCTGTTGGCCGGATGCCAGGACAGTGGCCTTGAGACCTTCTTGGTGTTGGGAGGGCCAGCGGGGTCGCAGTCCTTGGAGCGTGTCTGGCTGAGACCTGGGTGGCTTCATGGTCTGATGGGCTTGGATGGGAGCCAGGGGATGGTGACTAGTCTGCCTGTGGCGTGAGGGGGGCGCGGTGCTGGGGGCCTTCCCTGTGCTTCCGCCCCAGTGGGTTTGTGTTACAGGCTGTTTCCCTGTGGTCGCCGTGGTACCCATGGTGATGTGGCCCCATTCAAAATCCTGGGGACAGGGCCATGGCTCGGGCTCCCCAGCGGGGTTTCTGATGGGTGCTGTGATGCTGTGGGTATAATAACAGCCATACCCCGAGCAGTAACCATACCACAGTGCCACAGACCCTCTCCCAATCCCTGCTGCCGGGGGCCGGGTGGGGGGCTGTCAGGTGGAAGCAGGGGCCCGGAAAGCTGTGGGACGGTCTTGTCGCTGCACGTGTCCTGCTGGGAGCACGTGGGAGGCCTCTCCCGTCGGTGGTCAGTGACCACGCCCAGCTCTATCCTGAGGCTCTGAGGCAGGGCCCTGCTGAGTGAGCTGGTGTCAGCGTCTGGTTTGGAAGCCAAACCCATTGTGACGGTCTCCTGGGTTGACAAATTGTCTGCACACGGTGTATGGGTCACCTTGGGGCCCTTGGTAACCCTGGGGCCAGCAGGTGCCTCCCCCTCCACTCCCTGCCAGGAAGGCCAGGAGCAAAACAGGGGTCGTTCCTGCTGCCGCCAACCCTGGGGCTCCGGGTCCGAGGTGTGCCTGCCTGTCCCCAGATGCAACTCTGAGCAGCTTCAGGCCTTTTGGTTGCAGCAGGATCTAGAGCAGGTGTGTAGGGGTGCCCAGTGGCCTCTCCTCTCGGGCCCCACTTCCCCCTGCCCTGACCACCGGGGCGTCCAGAGCTCCTGGGGGAAGACATTCACTGCGGTGGCCCAGGGCCCTCCTTCCCTGAGTCCACGCATCCCTTCTGAGTCCTCACAGCTCCAGGCCTTGGAGCACGGCCGAGTCAGTGGCCTCTGGGCATCCATTCCGGGGTGACTAGGGGTGACTGATCGCCACCAGGCCTGAAAGCTCTGGCGAGTTCTGCGGTGTCCCCTCTGGAACGTGGACGCTGCTCTGTACCTGGTCCCACCTCAGTACCACGGGGCATCGAGAGGGTGCCAGCACCACCTGCTGGGGGTGCCCGGGCCTGGGGCCGGGGCCGGGGCTGGAGGGCTGGCCCTTTACTGGCACCCCTGCCCTGCTGGCATCCTAAGTCTCAGGCCCCGGGGGTGCTCTCTGCAACTGCTGCCTCATCTGGACCTTGGTGACCCCACATAAGGGGCCTCGGCGGTGCCTCTGCTCAGGGGCCTCAGCAGGTGGGCCGAGCCCCAGGCCCTTCCCGTGTCCCCTGGTAGTGGGCTGAGCCCCAGGCCTCGGCCCCGAAGGGGGCAGAAGCTGCAGGTCCCGGACTTGGTGCTATTTCCAGCACCGTTAGGCGTTGAGTTTTAAGAATACATTTGCATCAGTTTAAACCCCCCTTATGCAGGCAGTGTCTGCAGGTGGTAACCGCCGAGGAGGGAGAGCGTGCAGGTGTTTTGTCCTCACGGCCGCCCTCCCGTGCCCCTGCCGTGCCCCTCCCGTGCCCCTCCCGTGCCCCTCCCATGCCCCTGCTGTGCCCCTCCCGTGCCCCTGCCGTGCTCTCGGGCCGGGTCTGCGCATGCACTCCCGCACGAAGCGAGGCTGAGCCCCCTCCCTCGCACCCCACCCCCTCCGTCTTGCTCGGTGTCCTTCACCTCTGCCTTCAGACCCCATGGGTGAGACTTCCCGGTCAGGCGCTGGGGCGCAGCGCCAAGCTCCACTTCCTGTGAGCGAGTGCAGGTGGGGCTTTCGGACAGGGGCCGTGTCACTGCGGGTGTAGCAGTCACCGCTACTACAGTACCATCACGGTGACACGCGCCCCTCAGAATCCTCCCCCCGCGGCTGTGTGTCCGGGGCTGCCCTTGCTGGCTCGGGCCGGCTCTGAGGAGGGGACCCTGCGTTTCCGGTGGGTTTGGGGGGTGAGCAGGGGGCAGGGTCTGACCCAAACCTGCATGGCACCCCCTCTCCAGCCCAGGCGACCCTGCTGGCCACCGTGGTCCATGTGGCCGCCAGTCTGCCTGGCTCAAGGGTGCTCTGGTTGTGTCTGTCCTGCTCTCTGGGCCCCCCTCAGAGAGCTTCTCTGTCCCCGGTGTGACCAGTGAGGGTCTGGCCTCCCCTTGCCCTTGTCTTGCATCTGCTGGAAGCTGCCGATGGTTTGGGGTCAAACCTGTGACATCTGTCGGTCGACTGGGGCCCGGGGACAGCTGACTGGATGTGAGAGGCTGTCTGTCGTCTGTGGGCGCGTGGAGTGGTCCCCCCTCCGCCTCTCAGCACCTGCCGCGGGGGGCCCTCCCAGGGTGTGACGTGGGTGTTTCCGCGGTCGGTTGGGGTGTCTCTGGAGATCAGCTTTCCGCAGTGCTGTCCCCCAGCTCCGAGTGAGAGGTGCTCTTCCTCCTTGGGGTTCCTCACGGCCCCTGACGAGGGCACCTGCCCCCCCAGGAGGCCGGACGTCCAGGTGAGTCAGGGCCTGGCCTGCAGCCTTTGAACCGCGGCAGGCTGGGCTCGGCCTGAGGGCCGGCCTGTGAGGGGTCTCAACAGCATGGGCTCCGCGTTCACTGTCCCGGCCAGCCGTTCATGCAGCTGCTGTCCATGGGCCTTTAACGTGAAAGTGGTGGAAACGGCCTTTATTCAGTCACTCTTGACAGCAGGGGAGAGCTGGGTCCACCCACTGTGAGCAGAGGTGACCAGTGTGTCACAGGAGAGCAGGGGTGGGGCTCCAGGGGCTCTGGTGAGGGACCAGGAAGGGTGGCCGTGCAGATGCGATGAGGCCGCTGTGCCCGCCAGCCGGCAAGGATGCAGGGATGGGTCAGGACTCCGCCCTCACAGAGGGCTCCGTGTCTCTCTCTGCAGCTGAGGGGCGTTGGGCAGCTGAGGACTGGCAAGGCTGAGCCTCCAGCGCTTCTGGGGGAAGGTCACGGCCAGGACCACTGACAGACAACCCCTGTGGGTATGCAGTGCAGTGGAAGCATGACAGAGGCATCTCAACACCAGGCTCTCTGCCACTGGTGCCGGGCCGCCCCTGCATTCTCGGGGCGGGGGGGGACACACCTGGTTAGGAGCCGGGTCCTCCCAGCGGCTGTGCTTACCGAGCAGCCAGCAGGATCGAGGAGCTGGGCACCCGCTCTTCTGCCTCTCATTTTCGTGGGGCAGCTGGGGAGCTCCAGGCGGGAAAGCAGCGTGGCCGCTGGTGGGCGAGTCAAGGAGTCAGAGGGCGAAGCGCAGCTGCTGCCCACTGCGGGCCCCTGGGAGCCGCGAGGAGATGGGCCAGCGGTGAGTTAGGGCTCTCTGCCTGCGGTGAGACCTGGGAGTCGGTGTGCGAGGGGGCGGGGGCCTCACGTCTGGGGCGGGGGCGGGGGAGCCAGGCCCTGGGTGTGCTGGACGCGGCCCAGCATCCACGTGGGCTCCCGTGTTTGCTGCCCGCAGGCACTCGGGACGCCCGTGCATCGTGTGGGGCTGCAGGTCAGGGACTGACCAGGAGCCCAGCCGGCAGGCTGACCCTTTGGAAAGAACCTCCTCTTGGGTGCACGGTGTCGCCAGCTTTCTCCTGGGGTTCGGAGGTGATGCTGTGAGGTCGGGGCTCGGCACTCACGCCCGCAGTGGGTGGCGTCGGGAGAAGGTGGCCCGCCGGGAGCCTCCGGCCTGAACCGGGCCCGACTGAACCTGACTTTGCTGCCACGGCCACAGCTGCTCCGGGCTCTCCCTGGGAGTTCTGTGTCACCAGCTGTCCTCGAGGCATGGACACGGGGTCATCGTCCCACCTGCCGTCTCTA